TGGAGCCGCTGCATGGCTCAAAACAAGTCTGTATGGAAAAAGGACTGAATGGACTCGGCGAGTCGCAAGGTTGACTCGGCGAGTCACATGAAGATGGCCGTGAACTCGACGAGTTGGATGAACAACTCGGCGAGTCCGATGAAGATCACCATAAGACTTGACGAGTTGAAGAACAACTCGGCGAGTCGGATGAGTTTTCCCTAGGATATGTATGTGTGTGTACCAGTCGAGTGGCAAGGAGGGAACTCGACGGGTGGCCTTAGAGTTTGATCGGGAATCGAAGGAACTCGACGAGTCACCCCGATGACTCGGCGAGTGGAATGTGCTTCAAGGAACTCGGCGAGTAGCCAAGGGTACTCGGCGAGTTGGGGGTCAACATGGACTGTTGACCTTGACTGAGGACTTTGACTTTGACCAGGGGTTGACTGGTGGGTTATGGAGTACCTTATAGAGTTAAGGACTTATGAGTATATTGTACTATGGTCATAGGTGGTGGAGCCTGTGACAAGTGATCCGAGAATTGGAGTTTACCTTTCGAGTCGGCATCTGCGAGGTGAGTCATCCTCACTATATCGATAGGGTCTACGGCACCAAGGCCGACCCTTTTGTTGTTATTGTTATGGTATGCTACATATGGTTTGGTCTGCTAGATCGGAATCAGGGTAGACAGTATGTTATGCTTTATGATCCGTAAGGATTGGTATGTTAGTGACCTGCTAGGTCGGTACTCTCGTTACGAGAGGATTCTATGGTTGATGATCAGTATGATAGATATGTTTGATGTTGTATATGCCAGTATATGATAGTTATGTGAACATGGTTATTTACTTATTGGTTGGGTTGAGGCGGTCCTGCTTTGTGCTGAAGGCCAACATACCCTATCAGCGGTCCGGGGAGACTGCAGGCCACGAGGCGGACCAGTCATGCCGAAGGCTCGGGATAGATTCAGATAGACTGTAGGCCCAGTAGGGCGGTCCAGTTAGGCCGATGGCCCAGTATGCATGAATAGATTCAGTTAGACTGTAGGCCCGGTAGGGCGGACCAGTCAGGCCGATGGCCCAGTATGCATGATTGATTGATTGGTTGTTACTGATATGGTATTGTCAGTGTGGTATTGGTATTTTAGGGGTAGCTCACTAAGCCCTCGGGCTTACAGTTTCAGTTTATTGTTTCAGGTACTTCAGGAGATCGTGGCAAGGCGAAGGCGTGACCGTACCACTCCTCATCCTTATGATATGATTTTGGGACACTCTGATGGATATTGATTTGAAAACATTTTGTAAACAATACTATTTGACTTTTATTTATGGTTAAAAAAGTTTGAATTTGGCGTAAAATTTATGGACGTTACATTTAGTTCTTGGTGCGGCCCCAATAGCCAAGGCACCATATCATTTGGAACCACCGGAGATATAGGAGTTGTCTACGCAACTTCAGGAGTTGCTAGACAAGGGATTTATTCGGCCAAGTAGTTCACCTTGGGGAGCACCGATCCTATTTGTGAAGAAGGATGGTTCACACAAGATGTGTATTGACTATCGGGAGTTGAATAAGTTAACGGTGAAGAACCGTTATCCACTTCCGAGGATCGACGACTTATTTGACCAACTTCAGGGTGCATCTTCGTTTTCCAAGATTTATTTGCGATCAGGATACCATTAGATGAGGTTCAGAGACGAGGATGTGTAGAAGGCGGCCTTAAGAACTCGTTACAGTCATTACAAGTTCATGGTGATGCCTTTTGGGCTCACCAACGTGCCAACAACATTCATCGATCTCATGAAATGGGTATGCATGCCAATGCCGGATCAATCGGTGATCATGTTTATTGATGATATTATGGTATACTCCAAGACTAAGGATCAACACGAGGATCATTTGCGGGAGGTATTGGAGACTCTAAGGAGGGAGATGTTGTATGCCAAGTTCTCCAAATGCGAGTTTTGGTTGTGCGAGGTGTAGTTCTTGGGGCACATAGTCAACCAGAAGGGCATATTAGTCGATCTGGCCAAGATTGAGGCCTTGATGCGATGGGAGGTTCTGAGAACCCCATATGAAATTCGACGTTTCTTGGGTCTTGCGGGATATTACCGGAGATTTATCTAGGATTTCTCCAAGATTGTTGTGTCATTGACCCACTTGACGAAGAATAATGTTACCTTTCAGTGGGGATCCGATCAATAGTTGACTTTTGAGACACTGAGGCAGAGGTTGTGCGAGGCCTTGATTCTTGCACTTCCCGAGGGTATGGATGATTTCGTGGTTTATTGTGATGCCTCTATATCAGGTTTGTGAGTTGTTCTTATGAAGAAGGGTTATATGATTGCTTACGCTTCGAGGCAGCTGAAGCCTCATGAGGCGAATTACCCTACGCATGATTTGGAGTTGGGGGCTTTGTTTTTTCCCTAAATATTTAGAGGCACTATCTGTATGGGGTTAGGTGTACGATCTAAACTGACCACAAGAGCTTGAGGTACCTGATGGATCAGGCGAACTTGAATATGCGGCAACGGAGGTGGTTGGATGTGGTAAATGATTATGATTGCGAGATTCTGTACTACCATGGGAAGGCCAATGTAGTGGCCGATGCTCTGAGTCTTAAGGCTATGAATGCACCTACCGAGGATATGTTTCTGAGGATGGTTATCATTTTTCTTTTGTTAGATTTGATCAAGGAGGCTCAGGTGGAGGGATTGAAGAAGGAGAATTGGAATGCAGAGCGGATCAGGGGGCAGATTCCTTTATTCGTCAGAGATAGTTGAGGTTTGTTGACTCAATGTGGTAGGGTTTTAGTTTCGACTACTGGTGGGGTGAGGCAAACAGTTCTAGAAGAGGCTCATAAGTCAAAGTTTTCGATCCATCTGAGGGTCACGAAGATGTATATGGAATTGAATTTAAGTTATAGGTGGCCCTGTATGAAAAGAGAGATATCATGGTTTGCAGAGCAGTGTCTACCTTGTCGGAAAGTCGAGGCCGAACATCAGAGAACCCACGGTAAGATGCATCCATTATCCATTCTCATGTGGAAATAGGAGGAGATCACCATGGATTTTATCACAAAGCTGCCAAGGACGACCCGTAGAGTTGATTTTATCTGGGTATTGTTGAATGTTGATAAACTGAACAAGAGTGCACACTTCACACCGATTGTCGAGCGTATATTTGCTGAGAAGCTATCTGACATTTACATTCAGGATGTGGTGGTTCGGCACGGGGTGTCAGTTTTGGTGGTTTCGAACCGAGATGTTTGCTTCACCTCCAGGTTTTGGAGGAAGTTTCACGAGGAGTTGGGTACTCAGCTGCATTTCAGTACAACATACCACCCCCAGACCGATGGACAGAGTGAGCGGACGATTCAGACTCTCTTAGATATGCTTCGGGCCTGCGTGTTAGATTTTGGAGGGAATTGGGATACCTACCTTCGACTAGCTGAGTTCTCTTACAACAATAGTTATCACGTCTGACCATTTGAGATGTTGTATGGGAGGAGGTGCAGACCCCGGTTTGCTAGGGCGAGGTCGGGCATCGGGTATTGGGAAGTATTGGAGTGGTGTTTAAGACCATTGAGTTGATTCAACAGGTGTGTGAAAGGTTGCGAGTCGCGCAAAGCCGGTAGAAGAGTTATGCAAATCAGTGATGTTCGAACCTTGAGTTTTAGGTGGGGGACTTTGGCATAATTTTCAAAGAATAACCACATTATTAATTTACAAGAGTCACACCAATTAACAAAGTATAAATCCATTACTTGGAAATAATTTTCAGAGAATGACATACAACAAATAAACAACACTCAACCTCAAATATACTCATTCTATGATTCCGTGTACTAACTTTGCCATCAGAGAGTGTTACTTGAAATCATCCTAGTAATACTCATCACCAAGACTTCATCTATTTTGCAGACGTGAGGCCTTATGAGCCTATCAGGATGATCTCGCCAATCAACACTCCTCAGACGCCATAAGAGAAAATCACAAAGCATCATGGAACAATAAATATGAGACAAAAAAGTTTCAATTATTTGGCCTCACCCAAAAAGATGGAACAATTAGGGTTTCAAATTTTTGCCCCACAAAAAAATATGGTACAAAAAAGTTTTAATTTTTTTGTATCACCTAAAATGGAGGACAATGAGGATTTTTGTTTGTCCCATCAAAAAATGTGGAACAATGAAGGCGGTACAATTTCTTTTGTCCTACACAAAAAGGTGGAACAATGAAAGTGTAACAGAAAAATTTTAATTTTTTGTGTCACGACGAGGGTTTCAATTTTTGTCACACTCAAAAAAAGATGAAAGAATGAAGGCGGGACCTAAAAAAAATCAATTTTTGTCTAACCATAAATGGTGGAATGGTGAGCGTTTTTTTTTTCTACCCAAAAAGATGGAACAATGGATAAAAATATCAAATTTTTGTATCATCCCATATTTTATAAAAATATTTATGAATTTTGGAATATACGCTTCACGACTACGTAACGACTACATGACGTTGATTTCTGACCGAGCATCATATAAAAACATAGTCATATTATATTCAACCGACATATGTTTGCTATCATTTAACCAACATTTACTTTAAGATGTCTATATAGTAAAGACAAAAGGATCACGAGACATGCACAAGGGCTTATTGCACTATCTGTCATTTTCTTGCAATAACTCTCAACGTAAATTTAGAGTCGACATTATGGAAAAGTTATCATGCTTTAGTTTCAAATTTCTCCTTCAAAAAATATTGAAGAGACAAATACATAAAGATTACGAGCAATAGTTTTCTTTTAAAATTAAGTCACAATAAAAACTGATAAGAAAATAACAAAGACAGACAACAAGGAGTTTCATACCTGATAGATCAACACGGGAGAGAAGAGAGACGAGATAAGAGACACATACCTAATCATACAGTTATACTTGTACTCTGACATAATCATATCATTACATTATCTTCATCTAACTTAACAGAAATCAACAAACATAACTAATCGATTTTAGATAATAAACACCGAAGAACAATGACAGAAATGAAAAAATGTCATAAAAGATACAAACAATTCACTAATAAAAGCCAACAGACCCTGGTCAGTAAACTGTCAAAAATGGTTGGACCCTTGACCCATCCTATGAGCCTATATATTATCAACAAGCAACTGCAGCTTCTTGTTCAAGTTCAGGTCCAGGTTCAGGTTCAGAATTAGAAATTATGTCATCAACCGAGGGTGTGATGTCATCAATGGAGGATGTGATGTCATCAATGGAGGGTATGACCAATGGACTTTTCTGGAACTCATTTCGTAGCTGCCCACAAGCTGCACTTGCATCTAGACCTCGTGTCTGACGTACACTGACTGTTATTTTACGTGACTCCAACATAGATTGAAATGCATTGATCTGCAAATAATTAAACACAAAAATGAAACTTGTTTTTTCTAAACAAGACATGACATGACAGAATAGAACATACTAAAACAGATTGTCCTGTGTTTGACATGCATCATACTAGGATTAGGACTGATGTTAGTTGGACAATAATTTTAATTTTTTTGTTCCACCCAAAAAGGTGGAACAAAAAGGACTTTTTGTCCCACCCAAAAAGGCGGACACGTACCGCTTTTCTGTAAGGGCGCTTATATTCAGTGCCATCTATTGGGTTAAATGGGATGAGGTTCACATGGTATCCTGGTCCCCATTGATGAAGTAATTCTGCAAGTTCTTTCGCGTGCTCCACGTCATCATTGACTCCGGCTGTAAAAAAAAAATTGACTTAATTTTGTTTTAAAAAAATGCTTAATTGCAAAAGAATATAACTAAACACAAAATTATGTACCTAAAAGTGTGTACTCGAAGGATACACGTCTACTAGTCTCATGAAAATAGTCCCTGCAATCCTTCATAATTGCCTCTAGAGGGTATGACTTGGCACTTGGCACAATCTTTTCTCTTAGTTTTTGATTTGGAGCGTGAAGGCTGAAATACATCAACAATAAATAAATATTAGTTTAAATTGTGTAAAATTACGGAAGTATATAGTGATATGTAAAAAAGTATTTATTGTTACCTAAGAGCCAATGTCGATTGAAGTTTGTGGGAAGCAAGTTTCTTGATAGTGTTTGGAACGCCAACAGTGGAAATTGTCATCATCCTTTGTCCTATTTGTATATCCTTCAATCCAACAGACAACACGCATTGGTAACATGACTTTTTATAATAACAAGAAAAGGAGAAAACATGTAGACATTGATTGAATAGATTTTTTTTTTTTTAAAGCAAACCTTGTTCAAGCATCGGTGAGCAGCAAGGACTTCTTTCAAGTTTAACATTGGTTCACCCATTCCCATGAATACCACATTAGTAACCCTATTGTTAAAGACCTCTTCTATTGCCAACACCTAAAAGTAAAACAATAACTTAGAATACTAAACAGGTTGTACCTAAAAGTCAACTAAAAGTCAACCTGCTCAACAATCTCGTGCCCCTTAAGGTTCCTTGAGAAGCCGCCTTTTCCAGTAGCACAAAATGAGCAGCGTAAAGGGCAGCCTACCTGTATAGTTAACAACAAAGAGTACATGGTCAACTGTAATTAAGAACAATAAAATCAACCATGGTGGAAACTGGAAAGTGGAAAGTGGAAAGGGGAAAGATCACCTGTGATGAGACACAAGCTGTAAGGCGAACAGAACCTTTATCATCTGCTACTGGTATGCCGACAGTTTCCACCAGTCGATTATCTTCTAATTTTATCAGCAACTGAAACATAATCGAAACAACGAATATGAAACATGAATACATGAATGAAGTGAATTTGATGTAAGGAATATGAAGATGATTAACCTTGATAGTGCCATCAGCTGCAGTTACAGAACTATGCACAGATGATCGTCCGACCACCCAACCAGCTTCCTGGAGTTCGGTTCTGAATGCTAGAGGAACTTTTATAAACAAACAAGAAACAATTAGATTGAAAAAAAAGTCAAAAACCACCGCTAAATCTTCACTCTGAAATCCAAATAGCAAGGAGCTCACTCTGGCTGAATTCTTGAATTTCCTTAACCCTTCGTTTGTACAGGAGATGATGCAACTGTTTGCCTCTATAACTTTGCTACATCAAAAGAAATTCAGAATTTGATTGAAATGACAAACCTAATGATACCCATCATTCTTCGTGAGAAATCAATTGAATTTTAAGGGGTTTTCAGTATATACCTGGCCGAAGTCAGTAGCTAGCTGTTGAAGCTGTTCCTCTGACATGCCGAGAAGCACGTTCGAGTCTGGTAGCGAGGCCTTTATCTTGGTGGTAGTGGCGGCGGCGGCGGTGGTGGTGGTGGTGGTGGTGGGAACAGTGACGATGGTGCGAGAGGAGGAGACGACGAGGGCACGTGACCGGGCAGCACGAGCCAGTGGCGTTACGGAGCACATGAACTGTAGCAACGCCATTGATGATTGATAAACCTTCGCCAAGCAACAAAACCTCGGATATTGGATATTTCAAGCCTGCCCCAAATCCTAACATTTACGTAAACGGCGTCGTTTTTATTAACTTATAACTTGACGACAAAACACAAAAATCAATATCATGGAACTGTGAACTAGGGATGAGTTATAAAACCGAAAAATCGGACCGGAACTGGAATTGGATGTTTAAACGGTCCGGGTATTGGGTTCCAAATTTAGTCTTATCCGGGTTCCGGTTATTTCGGGTACGGGTCCAACGGGTCCGAGTATTCCGGGTAAAAAAACCGGAACCGGTTTTTGGAACCGGATATGTAAAAAAACCGGAACCAGGTTTAATGGACCGGAACCGATTTTTGTACGTTTTATAAAGTTTTTATATAGGAAATATAAATAAATATGTAAAAAAGCTTATAAGTTGATGAGTATTTTATCATAATCTATATAAGTTTTAAAAAATGAATATATTAGGAATATATTTTTGGTATAGAAATTTGTATAAAAAATAGTGTCAGTTAAAGATGAAATATTATTTATACATTTTTGATCTAAAGAAAATTGATGTAGGATTGGAGATGGTTGTTTATCATAAAAAAAAAAAGAGAAAACATTGAAGTAATGGAAAACTCACAGATATGAAGCATGACATTCATCTAATAAAATCTCAGCCTATCTCCCATTCCCATCTCTGGTGAACTTTATTTGTAAGAACCATAATTTATATGTAATATTAATATTAGATAAATGGTTATAAGTTTGGTTTTATATGTTAAAGAATGGTTTAATTAAAAAGGGTGATTTCGTCATTTGTAGGAAATTTTGAAAAATTAGCTTATGCAATCGTTTAAATACATTATACTGTAATAACTTTTGTAATAAGTTATGGTGTTTGATTTGAGTGAATTTGACTATATAATAGTGTATTTGATCAAAAAGGGTGAAATCGAAAGTTTTATTATTTTTAGTATCAACTTGTTTTGTTGGCTTAAGCCTTGATGGGTCAAAGTTCTATAAGCTTTTAGCCTATTTACAGTAGATCTTTTACAAAAGGTTATATATTCATCTTGTTGTTTAATTATTCTAACTATTTTTTTTAATTAGAACCTCTAATCATGTTACAATTAACTCATCCCTATGAACGTACGTACAATATATATTACAATCACATAACTAAAGCTCATATTTCACAGTAATATTAAACCAACTTTGTTATATCACGTTATATCATGTTACTTTTTCTTAAAAAAAATCAATGTCGTCAATAACCTAAATGTAATTTTTTGTTTATTAATTTTTTTTATAACGGTTGAAAGATTAAGCGATTGAGGTAACTACAAAAAAATAATAATAATAAAAATAAAAAATCCGGGTTTTCCGGTTATTTTACCCGGTTCCACCTTACCCACTTTCCTATTTCCGGATTTTTCGGTTCTAGACCCACTTTACCCGGAACCGAACCGGAACCGGTTCCTATATACCGGTCCGGTTTCCGGTTCTAAAAAATCTCGTTAAACGGTTCCGGGTTTTCCGGGTCCGGGTCCATTCGGTCCGGGTTTGGACCCACTTTCATCCCTACTGTGAACAATAGCATCCTATCATTTGAAATTAGGCTTCCAAATTCTTTTTAACATCTAGATGTGTATATGGGTGAAATCCATTCCCGAAGCGGACTGAACCGAAACCTTTCGGAATCGAAAAATAAAAATTCAAGGAATTGAAAAAATAACTTATTTATGAGGGTACCGGTACCAATTTTCAGGTATAGAACCAAACAAAATCCAATTAAAGTGGTTTTGAGCTTAAAAAATCAAGTCTTATAAAAAATCAGCCCAACAGCCTCTGTTTAGAACTATGTAACTCAATTAGTTATTAATCAATTAATGTCGTTCTGGAGCCTAAAATGTAGCCAAAACAGAAAACCAGATGCTGGAAAAAAAAAACTAATTTACGAAGTTTGTATGAAAAAATTATGGCTATTTAAAGTTGATTAAAAATTATGTATAAACTAAAAACAGTTCAACTCCAATAGTACTTGTTTATGGTTGTGTAACTCAACCAATTCTTAATGGAGTAAGGTGGTTTTAATCCTAAAATGTAGCCAAGAAAGATAACTAAATGTGAAAAAAAAATTCAATCCAACCTTGTATGAAAAAAATATAAGGGTCATAATATGGTTAAGTGACCCTTCAAATTCAAGTTCCATACAGGTTATTTAAACTCATATTATTGTTGATTCAAAACTTGAACCAATGCTTTTCTTGTTCATTTATAGTCGGTTTCAGATAATGGTTTGTTGATGAGTTTACAATAATTTCCTTAGATCTCAGTCATCCTTTCACGAGGATCCTTGAATTTTTTTACCTATTCATTTTGGTGTTTCTAAGCAAATAATAATGTTATTTAGTAAATTTATCAAGGGTATACATAAAGAAGTATATAATTATAAAATATTTTAAAATGAGTCTCTCTCTCTCTCTCTCTCTCTCTCTCATGAGCCATGCTTGGCGCATGCCATTAGCATATGTTCGGGGGTGGTGTTGGCGCATGCCAAGAAGCTTGGCGAGTGAGCTTGACACAATCACTCCATGCGGTCTAAAGATACGATTTGCATTATAAAATCCGTGTTTGTATTCATTTTTTCATAAAAACATATTTATGTTTATTTATGTACTTAATAAATACATATTTTTATAGTTAGGTATTTTACATATAAAAGTGTTAAAAAAAGCTTTTATATATGAGAAAATATGGTTTTTTTAGTATAAATATGATTTTATAAAGAAAAAAAATCATGTTCAAAATAAAATTTTTAAAAAAATTAAATATATGATGAATTTGTAAGAAAATTTTGAGATCTATGCCAAAAATGTTAAATTTGAACCAAATTTATAATAAAATATAAAATCTGGACCAAAAGTATAGTTTTTAAAAGTCATATGTAAAAAGGGTCAAAATAAATATTAGACAAAACTTCAAAAATGGTCCCTGTGCTTTCACAAAATCTGAAGTTTGGTCCCTAGTTTACAAAAGCCTCACGGATCGTCCCTGTGGTTTCAAAACTTTTAACATTTAGTCATTTTCGTTAACTCCGTTAGCTTTTGATTGTTAAGTGAATGGTATTTATGTCATTTCACACTACCACATGGACCATTTATGAAGATTTGCCTTATTTAAAAAAAAAAGACAAAAATAATTATTTAATATTAAAGGCTCTCTCTCTCTCTCTCTCTCTCTCTCTCTCTCTCTCTCTCTCTCTCTCTCTCTCTGGATGAATAATCAAAGGGAAAAAAACCCAGATCTGCACTCTTTCTCCTTCTGGTTAGACACTCACCTACCGGTGGTGAAGCACCAACATCGCCACTACAATTTTCAGACCACCAACCACCGCCATTGCTGCTGTCTCTCTCATAATTCTACCCGATGTAAGCCTCAACATCATCTGAAAGATGTCGTACTCTTGCAATATCACCATAATTTGACCTAAATTGGTAAGCCCAAATCAAAATCTAAAATTGTAACCTAGATTCAAGCTCTGCATATAATATTTGACCTAAATCGGAAGCATCATCTCCATTGTCGCCTTCCTCTAAAAGCTCTGCATTTACGAGCTTCGTCGATACAAGCTCACCCATCGAAAACTCATGAAATCGGTTCTGCCTCCATCAATTTCATCAAGAACCAACAACAAACTCTAAGGCTTAATTTATTTCACTAGGTTGGGATCTTCCTCTATCGATTTCAATATGAACCAGTCGTTTGATTTTTATGGCACTGTTGTGGTAGCTGATAAGAAGAGGTATCTGAAAGGAGGAGGCGATCGTCGGTGTTCAGATATTGGCCAAAGCTTAGTGTTTACCGCAGCTCATGAAGAGCTAGAAGAGGAGTTCATAAATGAAATCGATGAAGCTGGTGATGGTAGAGAGAAGCAACTACGTAGAGAGAAATCGATGGAATAGATGGAAATCGAGGGGAGAAGAAGGAGTACAGACAAGAGAGAGGCGACATAGGTAGAGGAAATGAAGATCCATGGGTTTTTCAGTGGGTTCTGGCCATGTTTCTGATCGGTGGTGGCTTCGATGATACTGAGTTGAGGTCTAAATTTAGGGCGATGGCTACGACGGTGGGATCGATTGCACGTATGGTTATGGGAGGTGGTTCATGGCGAAAGTCAGGTGAATAACAAGATATGGATCTTGTTTGATACCGGTCTTCTCTTTTTCTTGTTATACATGAGAGAGAGAGAGAGAGAGAGAGAGAGAGAGAGAGAGAGAGAGAGAGAGAGAGAGAGAGAGAGAGACCCTTTAATATTAAATAATAATTATTATTATTATTTTTAAATAAGGTAAAACTTCATAAATGGTCCCTATGAAAGTGAAATGACAGAAATACCCTTCACTTAACGGCCAAATTCTAACGGTGTTAATGAAAATGACCATTTGTTAAAAGTTTTGAAACCACAGGGACGATCCGTGAGGTTTTTGTAAATTAGGGACTAAACTTCAGATTTTTGAAAACCATAGGGACCATTTTTGAAGTTTTGTCTAAATTTAATTTCCGGTTTTTTGGACTTAATCGACTAAAGAAAAAAGATAATGGCGACTATAAGACTTAAAAACAATAACTTTTTTTTTTTTTTTTAATAGATTTCCCTAAATAAAACTCATAAAATGCATAATTAAATAACCAAAATAGCCACGTTACAAAATCTCTTCCTTCAATTTTAGGGGATGTGAGATACTAGAATCGTAACTAATTTAGCGAAGTGATCTCGAATTATGTTCACGTAATATCTTTTGATTGCTTTAACAAGTTACAAGTTATCCTTCAAACAAACTCTACAAGAAACGAAATTTGTATCAATTTAAGCACATCAAATTTCTTTCTTAATGAGAATCACACTCACCACAACATACACATAAACCACGAATCGCCCAAATTCGAAAGTACATATGCATCAAAACTCGAAAACTGTACACCAAAATATCCCCACCATTAGACCCCCTGTTTTTCTTTCCCAACTCTAATACAACTTATTCAGCCCCAACTGAATAAAAAATAAACTTAACCATCTTTTTAAACACTAGTGGACCCCACAGGCCTCGGATAAGAAACAACTTTCTTCTCATTCCCATTCCCATTCCCATTCCCATTCTCTTTTCTCACTGATTCCATTCCAACATTCTCCAACGATTTCTGTAACTCCTGAATCTGTTCCAATGCTTTAACCAACTCATCAGCAGTCGGCCTGTGTTTGGGTTCTTTCATCAGACACTTCATTGCCAGCATGGCAGCCCGTGTGGCAACAGAAGACGCGTATTGCCCTTCGATACGTGGGTCCATGATGTGAAGAATCTTTCGTTTGCTAGTCAAAAATGGCTTAGCAAATACAACCAATATCTGCTCGCCAGGTGGACGGTTTTTATCAATGCATCGCCTACCTGTCAAAAGCTCAAGTAGAACCACCCCAAAACTGTATATATCGCTTCTTGCAGTCAAATGACCTTCATAACAATATCACACATGATTAAGTCGATTAAAAACACTCGTATACCAAAATATTAATTATTTTTAAAAAATATCGATCGATCCTAATGTGAGGAGTTGAAAGGAAAAATGAAGAAGCTATTTGAAAAATGAGAATGAAAATTTTGAAAACGTGTTTGGTTTATTCGGTTTTCAAGAAAATGAAAATTTTATTTCTTTCAGATTGTATGTAAATTAGAAAAGTGATTTTTAAAACGGAAAATGAAGACTCCATTGGTTTCAATCAAATGCGTTTTCTAAAATTTTCATTGAAAACTAAAAATGAAAACTCAACTCTAGTTTCTGAAAACGTTTTCTAGAAAATAAAAACAATTTTTCCACAACCAAACACACTTTTCGAAATTGAGAAAACTTTGGAAAACTATAAAAATCACTTTTCAAATTTACATACAATTTGGAAAACAGAAAATTTTCATTTTCTTGGAAATTTTTTGAAAACTAAATCAACCAAACGCGTTTTCAAAATTTTCGTTTTCATTTGAAAATTTTCACGGAAAACTAGAAAATGATCTTAAAAAATTTTTTTGAAAATTTTCCACAACCAAACGCACTCTAAATATTTACCCCTTTTTCCTTCCAACTCTTCTCACGTTAAAATTGATGGATATTATAAAATTATTTTTTTGGAATGTAAAAAAAAGAAAAAAGAAAAAAAGGAAAAAAAGATTACCTGTGGCCATGTATTCAGGAGCTGCATAGCCTTGGGTACCCATAACCCGTGTAGACACATGGCTTTTACCGTCAATGGGTCCATCTTTTGCCAACCCAAAATCAGAAAGTTTTGCATTGTAATTCTGGAAGCAAGTAAAGGGTAAATTCGTAAAAACACAAACTAAACAAAGTGAATAATCATTAATTTGAGACATACTGAGTCAATTAATATATTGGAGGACTTGAAATCACGATATATCACTTTTGCTTCAGGACTATGTAAGTATGCAAGTCCCTTTGCAGCACCTAAAGCAACTTTAATTCTAAGGTTCCATGAAAGAGGCTGAAAATAAGAACTTCCTGTAATAAAAAAAAATATATTAATAGATAATCAATTTCAGGTAGATAAATTAATTCCACACTTAATGAACTTTGTAATTTTATTTTTATCATAACATCGTAGTTTAAAAAATTTACTCATTGTAGAAACATGTAATGTGTTGATTTGAATTATGATGACATGACATAAGTTAACAGGTTTTTATGCCATGTCATCGACTCATCGTCCACATAGGATGTACCTGTGTAATATATTGACGTGGCAAAAAATTACAACATTTTTTTTATAAAAATACTAGGAGAAATATGCAGAAAAGTCTCGTTATTTTGGGAAATATTTTTGATAAAGTCTTAATTTTTTTTTTTTTAACAGAAAAGTCGTGATTATTTAATATTTTGCCCAAATTAACGAAAAAGTCATTATTTTTATTTTAACAAGAAATAACAAATGATTGTGTAAAATTAAATAATTGGGACTTTTTTGTTCAAAAAAAAAATTAGGAGTTTATCAAAAAATTTCCCAAAGTAACTAGACTTTTCTGCATATTTCCCAAAAAAGTATTCATATCATATAAAAAGATAAAAAGAAGTTACCATATTTTTTAATTATAGCCATGTCATTTAGCTTTTTTAATTAATATAACAAGGGAAAAAAGAAATGTACAATGCTATAATAAAGAAAACTTAATAACTTCAATTTTATATCTACCATTGCATAAAAACGAGGAACAATTGCAAAAACTCACTCCTGAAAAGATGATTTTCCAAGCTGCCACGTGGCATGAACTCATACACTAACATTCTGTGATCATCTTCCAAACAATGACCGATTAATTTTACAAGATTTTTGATGATTAAGCTGCCCTAAATAATTGATTTCTGCCTGCATAAACATAAACATGAAACATTGAAACCAGTTTATCCAAAATTATAATTAACTTATTTAACTAAAACTTGTTCTTGTTCATAGCTTCATATACTTACCAACCATTCTTGGTGACCTTGAATGCCTTCATGATTTAACCTTTTGACTGCAATGACTGTTCCTGTACCTGGTTTTGCAGCTGTAAGTGAGTGTTCATCGATCCACCCTTTGAAAACTGAACCAAATCCACCTTCACCCAATACACTATCGGGTCTAAAATTTCTTGTAGCTGTTTTAAGAACATTGAAACTGAAAGACTTTAAATCTCCTGATTGCAAAATCTCATCTTGGCTTCTTGGGCTTCGAGGGCTTGGGGGAACTGAGGCAGATGTTACCTTACCTGTGATAAAAAGTTACGAAATTTTAAAAAGATTTTTAGAGAAAATCATGGGTTACTTAGCGATTAACATTAAAGATTTAAAGAAGTAAAGAACAATCATTTGGGTCACAAGATTGATTTCTAAAGATCCAACCTTTCTGTCGATAAATACAGGGATACAGAATTACAGGTGTATGAACCTAGGAGAAATGGGTCGATAAGCATCGAAAATTTTCAAGAAAGTTGCAAAAGCAAAAGGTCATTTAGGTTGAAGTTTTAAAGTCTTACCCTTTTGTGAATAAGAAAGAGAATTGCAGTAGATATTATTAAGATCATGATTAGATGACGCGATATACTCACCATCATGCCGAGAGCTTTCGATTTTCAATCGAACACTGAAACAGGAACCCATTTTGTACCAAATCGCTGTGTTCTTGATCGCTTCGTTCCTTCTGAGTCAAATCAGCGGCTCAAATCACGCGCTTTTTGCTGCTTCACAGGCTAAATATCAGATAGATGAAGGATGGGTTTGCTTCTGAAGAACAGGTGATCAAACTATGAAAAAATTCACAGGGGAATTAAAACAAACACTTGGAGGGTGTGAAAATAAACGCACACTAGTTGCGTGTTCAATATGCACACATAGTCATATTCATATATGTGTTGAATATTTTAGTCTCGGAGAATCCTTCCAGAACAAAGCCAAAGACAATAAAGTTGACTAATCTCCGTTAATTCTTCACTGCAAGTTGCTTGCCGCATGTAATATTTTCGATTTTATAAGGAAAATTGTTGAGCTGTTTTAGAAGAAAGGAGGGTGACTGTGATTAATGGAATCCAGTGAAGATTTTTATGTGAAGAACAAGAACCTGACAGAGCAGCACTTTACTAAATTCTCGCAAGATATCATCGTCTTTAATACTGTTGCCCGAGTTTGACTGTTTTGTCCTTCCACTTTTTGTCATATTTTACAATTAACCCCCCTGGACTATGACTAATTTATGCAATCAAATAAATTTGTTTATAGATGGAGTACAAAATAACATAACCTTTTACAAAAATGAAGTAGATATAAAAAGTTTGCAAAAACGACATAAATGTTTACAAAATATGGTGTCATCTCTCAAAGAAATAATGGTATTTTTCCTGAATTAAATAACCGTGAAATTAGCTAACATAAGTGATCTTTAAAATGCAAACAAAATTAGATAAAAAAAGAAAGATCGTTTAAAGTGTCTCAATCGAAGAGCACGAATTCAAATTCTTGGAAATACCAAGTTTTCTTGAGAAAATTACATTAAAGCAAATTAAAAAGTTATAAAATTGGCTAGCATATAATTATTTTCATAAAAAATATAAGATACGACTAAGTTAGGTAAAATGTTTGGTTTCTTAGGAAAAAAAGAAAATGGTTTTAAATAGGGTTGACCTTTAGAACCGGACCGGTTCAGAACCGGATCGGTTCGGAACCGGAACCGGTTTTTCTATATTATAAGAACCGGGAACCGGACTACCAGTTCTAGTGTCGGTTCCGGTTCCGGTTCCGTTTTTTCGGTTATTTTTCAAACTAGAACCGGTTAAAATATTATAAATGATATGTCATCTTCCGGAGCTTGTAAATGATTCAATACTTAACCAAATTATGACTTTTTACATTCTAAATTGAAGTACAAACACTAAATTACATGATGAAAAAAGAATCAAGTAATTCCGACTTTATATGAGTGAGTTATGCGCATTTTAAAAGCGGGACAGATTCTAAAAAAAATGTTGAAACAGAAAATACGCAACATTGATATGTTGTCTTTCGAGGTCTATAACCGATTCAATATCTAACCAAAATATGTGTTTTTATAGTCTAAAATGAAGTACAAACACCAAATTACATGCTGAAAAAAAAATTAAGTAATTCCGATGTCATATGAATGAGTTATGCACGTTTAAAAAAATGGAACAGATTCAAAAAAACAAAAAAAAAATGTTGAAATAGAAAAAACGCAACATCGATATTCTTTCTTTCGGGGCATGTGTCTGATTCGATATCTAACCAAAACATATGTTTGTACAGTAAAAAATGAATTACAAACTCCAAATTACATGTTGGAAAAAAAATCAAATAATTCCGACTTCACATGAGTGAGTTATTCATATTTTAAAAAATGAGAAAATTGTCAAACCGGTTCCGGTTTTTAGAACCGGAACCGGTTTTCATAAAAATGGAGAACCGGTAACCGGACCTTGTTACCAATTTCGGTTCCGGTTCCGGCGGTCCTAATGCCCTTCCCTAGTTTTGAATCCTTTGCTAGTTCTTGTATATAAATAGAAGTAACAAGTAAATTTGGAAGAAAAAATAGTCTTTTAAAGGAGTAAAAACTTGAAAATGTTGGTTAGTTTGATAACCAAAAAAACATAAACACGGAAGCATAACTTTGAATCTTTAATCTCAAATATGATTAAAAGAAAACTTAAACATTGAAGAACGATTATATACCTGATTTCATTATAATTTTTGGATCTGAAGAATTAGGGTTGGGTTTTCCAGTTGATCTCAAGAGCTCTCTCTAAAATCCTTCAGCAAACCCTAAACGAATTTACATGTGTATTTCGTGTGTGTTGATTCGCTCCTCATCACATATATTTATAGATGGATATAAACCTTAATGTGAGAGATGGAAGGGATCTTGAGGATCTTGAGTCAAACCGGGAACTCAACCCAGAAGGTAAGTAAATATTCTATAAATCGGTTCATCAACAATTTATATTCTTACCATAATAACTGGATTTAATGATAACATTATATATATATATATATATATATATATATATATATATATATATATATATATATATATATATATATATATATATAGGGTTAGGTTCAAGTGAGGACATGAGGACAAATCTCAGCCATTAGATTTGTTTTATTTAAGGGTCAATATTAATCAAATAGTGATTTGTATGTATTCTATCGTGATCTATGAATGGGAAAAAATTCAACACTGATTTATACGTATTTAATGAGCTGTATGTAACATCCAGAACTCATAAAAAAGGTAATCGTATCACAAATTAAACTGCTCCCGATAAACCCTATCGGCAAAATCTACCCAAATCGTTTCCATTTGGGTCAAACGATCTTGACATCATCTTCAAAAAAAAAAAAATTAAACTGCTCCCGATAAACCCTCGCGGAAAAATATACCCAAATCGTTTCCATTTGGGTCAAACGATCTTGACATAATCTTCAACAAAAAATCGAAAAGATTTGGTTATTCGTTTTATGTTATAAATTTGAAGCGAGATGAGGTGGACGAAATCATAGAGCTTGAGAAGGAGTCCAAGAATGATGGAATCGGGTTTTCAATCAAAGTTTACTAATACGGCTGCAAATGTTATCGATCTTGATGATGTCGACGTCTTGTACATTGAATCAGGTAGCATAAAGATTATGTTTTTTTTTTGTTTTTTTTATGTACGTTCGAAATTAGGGTTTTTCGTCAAGGGTTTTGTTGAGAAATTAGGGTATGTTTGTTATCAGTATTGTCGAGGTTCGTCAATAACAAGTATTTGGCTATGAATGTCAGTGTTTAATGAAATTAGGTTTGTTTTTTCAATTTAGGTGCAGTTAATTGATAGGGTCTTGACTGTGAAAGATTTTGTGTGTGTGAATGTGTAATATTTGAGTATATATTCCGTTTTGAAGGAAATCATATTTAGATGTTAAGTTAGAGTATGCGATATAGTTTTTGATTATCATATTTGGTGATGATTAGGAAGGATGTAAACAAATAATGCAATAGATTATGAAGGCTGTAAACAGTGAAATTGTTGCGATTTGTGAAGCCAACTGGTATGTGCAATGATAAGGTTCTGGTTGAGCATCAGGGTGGTTCAAATCAACAGAATATGGGAATGCAGGTTGTAGTGTACAATGGGAATTCTAGTTTTGATTCTCCTTGTATAATAACACATGGTTGGATAAAGCAAGCTGATGAAATAGAAAGAAACAGTTCTAAAAAGAGTATTACATTTAAAAATGATTGTCCATCATTTGAAGCTAGACTTAATGAATGTGCAGATGAGATGAATAATTCGAAAGGGAATGAAGGTAAAGATGATGAAGTTGTTGACCAGGAATGTCCTAAAAGGACAAAGAGAAATGTTGAAGCTGTAGTAGGGATTAACATGAGAGAAAAAAGAGAAATGAAGCATGGACCTTCATTGAAGTCACATTTTGTACAAAGAGTTGTTGACTTGAAAGATGCAGTTGAGCAAAAAGAAATTCTGGTTGCACAAGCAATTATTGGATTAGGAATGGATAAAAGGTGTAGTTGAATACTTTTTTATTTGTTTTTTTTTTATGATTAATGTAGTGTAAAATATCTGATGTATACAACCGTGAACAACGCAGGGAGCTCGTATGGGAATTAAAAGAAGGGTTTGGAATGCATATAGAGTATGCTAGAGCTATTGCAGGCAAAGTGAATATTCATTCAAATGTAATAGACTGTTTGAGTGTTCTACTAAACAAATTAGAAGAAAGCAAGTCAGAGTCATCATATTCTAGACTTTATTTTACAACAGGCACACTAGTATGGTTTTTCTATTTGGATATAAAAGTATTTTTTAAAGGAATTAATATTAATAATCGTGTTGTTTAAATGTAATTGCCAGCGTGAGTCAATGTATGACGAAAGTGTGAACGAAGATATAAGATACAAGGAGCTTGAAATTATGGTTTCCTCATCAATTGAAGATCTTACCACTGATTCTGAGCTAAAAAATGTGGATTTGGTAATTAAAATATTAAATGTTTACTATTACATTATTTTGTTTTGTTACTAATTGTTATATTTTAATTAAAATGTTGCAGGTTTTCTTCCCCATTGTTGATGGGAATTACTACCTGATATGTTTTAACCTTAAAAGTTTTACAATTTTAATAATTGATCAAAGGAGATTGGTGGGAATAGTTGAGTCCGTCTATGGGAACATACCGTGTGTGCTGGTAAGTACGAATATGAAATTATTAATCTAAATATATGTTTATGTGATTATGTAAATGGTTAATACAATTTTTGTTACATAATTCATGAATGTAATTCCCGTTTTGTTTACAACAAAAAATTTTCTGTCGTTTTCTAAATGACGTATGTAAGAAGAAAGTGAAGACTCTGATGACAAGGAATGTGGTCGTGTTGAAAATGAAGTGTCAAGCATACAACCGTTCAGATGATGGTGGAATCTACCTTATGAGACATATGGAGAGTTTTATGGGGAATCAAACATCAAAGTGGGATTGTGGGCTAGCTGTGGATTTGAAAATACAAGATATGTATTTACAAAAGTTAAGGTACAAGTATTTGGTGAGGTTGCTTTTGTCTGATCATAATATTTTGAAGTGTGAATTTGAAAAGGAGTATGCAAAGTTTGTTAAGATGGATAAGGCAACAAGGAAGAAAATAGTTCAAGGGAATCTGAAAGTAGTCTTTGATGAAGCAATTGGTTAAAAGCTGATGGGGATGGTAGTCTTTTGGTTAGGTTTGTTGATTGGTATGTATGACAAACGGATTTTGTTTTGGTGAGATGTTAGCATTTGGTCTAGGGGTCATATAGTATGGATTTGATTTTGTTATTTGTGTATGAAGTTATTTTGTTATTTGGGGTTTGAACCTGTTTAATATATTAGTATTTATGAAGTGATATGTTTGTTGACTCTTTGTTGACTGTTTGTTCAATGTGTCTGAAATGATTAAGTTGAATGTTAAAGGTCAGTTACTATTGAACTATTAAAATTTGTAGGCTATGTACTTTAATGGAGTTTTCAAGGAATGTAAATTGAATGTCGTATGAAGATGGTATTAATTCAATATAGAATATTATATTGCGCATACAATTCTTAAGTAGAACAACCCAATCAAGTGCAATATATGTATCTATTGATTGACAGTTATTTGACAATTTGTAGTTAGGGTAGAAGATATGTAGTAGTATTTGGTATGCATATGCTATTAATTCAATATAGCATGTTTTATTATGTATACACTTCTTAAGTATAACAACCCAATCAGTACAAATATATGTATCTATTGATTGGCAGTTATTTGACAATTTATATTTCAGGTAGAAGAAGATATTTGTTTGTAAAAGTTAAGGTAGAAGATATGTATTAGTATTTGGTTGAATGGTATGATTTTGGCTTTCTATGGATTTGGGAACAGAACAAGCGTATATACGGTATGGTACAATACATGTACATCCATTGTTGAAAAATTTTGTTGAGAACGTATGTAGTACCCATGGTATGTGAATATCAATGTGAGTTTGGTGTTTTGGAGGGGCGTTTAATTAGTTCACATCTTTTATATTCAACCCAAAATTTGTTTTGAAAAAATAATTATCTGAAGTAGGATAAAAGACCCATCATATATTCAACGTACCATAATAGTACGGATGCTAGTCTCAATCAATGTTGAATCAATGTATAAAACAAAATTTCCTATAAAATGAGAAAACGATAACATCTATTGAATAATGGAAAACGTTAAAAACACCAATCAATTTTTTTTTAGCATTCAAACATGTCTTCAAGATCAAAATGACAAATCCAAAACACCCAAAGGTAAACAAAACAATTTAAGTATAAAACATGCATCCACAATTAAATAATAAAAACAAAATGGAAGCTGAAACAAATGCTAATTATTATTAATTCTTCTTTCCGGGACGTTCTCTAAAAATGTTGTTCTTTTCATCTTCTTTCCTAACAGGACAATTACGCCAATCATGATCGTTGCCATTGCGACAATAACTGCATCTGAAACCCTTTGATTTTTCTGTTGCAACCTCTCTTGAACTTTTCATTCTTTTTTTAGTACCACTTCCTTTGTTGCGGATTTTACTGGATTGTGAATTTCCACATTAGTGGGAATGGTAACACCAAGTTTTTTTTTTCAAAATCTTTATTCTTGTTTCCTTTATGATGAGTTGTGAAATTGGAAATGAACTTTTCTTCCGGTTGCTTTATTTCTTGTAAGTATTCTTTTAATTTGGTTTGATTGTTGCTGAGAGAAGATACACAGTTGTCAACAATAGAAAATATATCAAGTGCAACTCTCTGGCTATTCTCGTCAGAATCAGCATAACGAAAACACTTTTTCAATAGTTCTGTGGGTATGATGTCCTTCTGCCAGCGTCTGAGTAAATATTTAGAAGGAATCTCTTTGATGTTATATGAATTCATTACAGTAAAAATGTGGCGACACAAAATACCAAACTGCTCAAACTTCATACAAGGACATTTAAATGTTTGTTCAGACTTATTGTGTGTAACATGGATTGAAAAAATTATAGAAAATTTAGAAAAAAAATATATAACAATTAATAGATTAAAAGTACAAGTTTCAAGAGCGATTACCTTGTAAGTAGACTCACGTATAAGTATATCCCATTGATCATCATTTTCAACTTCTGCATCAATATGAGAACCAATTGAATTAGAAGGAATATAATGAATAAATTCCTTGACAAGACACTCATCAACATCCTCAAATGTTCTGATACAAATTTGTGAACATGAAACCATAGACAAGTACATTTCATTATGAACTTAACGAAAAACAGTGCGAGTGTAAAACAAAGATGCATTCCTCTCAATCTCAAATGGTGTCCTCATTGTTGGATGTTTGTCGTTAGTTTTGAAGTCAAATGATGATTGCGTGAATCTTTGCTTCTCCATAGAAGCTTCAAAAGAAATCATAAAATGGACAATAGTAGAATTATAATGAGTGTTTTGGTGAAATGCAGAATTCTCACTTTCAGAACGAGATGTGGTTCTCATTAATCCTGATAAAGGTGCATGCTTGAAGAATGAAGGTATCCAGAAATGTCTCAATCCATGCATATCATCCAACCATTTATTATCTGTGAGTTTATATTCAATCAATAAGGACTTCCATCCTAACTCAAATTCATCAACTTCTAGCCTCGGATTCCATATCAAGAAGTTAAACTTTTTACGAAATTCTGGATTGTTGACAATGTTCAAAGAAATCTGGGAATTTGTAATTGTAATCAATTATAGGAATTGTAAATTCTTTTTTGAATACACTAAAAAAACCAATTGTTTAATTGGTAAATTTATAATATTTATTAGTACATGTTGACAAGAATAAATACCTTCAATGGCAATTTAGATGTGATATGCCACATGCAAAGCCTATGAATCAATTGTGGGAAAACAAATTCGATGGCTTTCTTCATTGTAGGTAGACCTGACAATCCGTGTCTGCGTGTCGTGTATTCGTGTTAGACACGAATTTACACGACACGAATTTGCTAAACACGAACACGACACAAATTATAAAACATGTGTGGGGTATTAAACATGAACACGACATGTAAAAAAATTGTGTGACACGTGACACGACACGAATAGACACGTTTTTTAGCCGTGTTACACGAAAACACGAAAAAACACGAATAGACACGTTTTTAATGGCTTTTTTAAGCTATTTCTATAAACTAGTTATTGACTTTTACAAAATTGGTCCATAATATATTATAAATACAAAATTTAACCCTAAAGTATATATGTGTTTATACGTGTCACGTGTCAACACGAATTTGTATCGTATCTTATACGTGTCTAAACAGGTAAATTCGTGTTTGACACGTGTAAGACACGAAACACGAATTTAAAATACGTGTCAGACACGAATAAACACGAAACACGAATTTATAAAACACATACACGGAAAACTCGTATCGTGTTCGTGTCGTGTTAATCATGTCGTGTATGAAATTGCCAGGTCTAATTGCAGGGTCTTGGTCGGATAAAACCAACAATGGTTGTTTGCCAAAAGCTTTAAGAAAAGATTTCAACAACCATGTATATGAATCAGTGTCTTCTCTGCTCAACAAGCCAGCACCAAAAGTGACACACCTCTTGTGATTATCAATTCCAGTAAAAGGTACAAAAACCATATGGTACCTGTAAAAGTATTTGAATTAATATATGTATTTTTAATAAATAAAAAATATTAAACTACAATCATTTACAACCTATTAGTTCGAAAGTAGCATCGAAAGAAACTACATCACCAAACTCTTTATAATTGATCTTGGATGTTTCATCTGCCCAGAAAATAACATTCAACTGCTTATTCTCAACTCAATACTCAAAAGAAAAATTCTTAACATTCTATTTTCTGTTATTCAACTTGTCCACTAGCATCTGAGCATCACTACCACCTATAAAGCAATTGAGATCCCTCATGTAATTTTTGAAGTCATCAATTAGACCGCCTACAAAATTGTATCCACCAAGAATACTTGTATACAGCCTATGAGCTATGGTTGCACCAATATTTTGATTAGACATTGTAAGAATGAAAGATTTTTTAGTGTCATCCAACTGCCTATGATGATGTGAAAACAACATATTGTCTCTTGATATAAGTGGATGATTGTGTTTTTCTTTAAATTCATATAACCACCATTTAGTAGTTCCAGGGAAAACTTTAAATCGTATACGCGCGTTGCATCCGGTCCTACTAGTGTCAGCCCTTCTTTTAATTTTACTCATTTTTTGGTCCAAAGTATCAACATGAGATGTATTTGGGAAACCTTCCTTGTTACATAGAAGATATTTCATGTACACAATTCCACACTTCTTTTTGTTTGTTGACTTTCTAACATCAAAACCCGCTGCACATGCATATTTTATGTACATGTCTTCAATTGCATCATCAGATGGGTATTTATGATCTATTATTGGCTTAAGATCATCAGGGACAGTTTACCGGCTATTACCAATTGTTGATCAAGACAATCATCTTTTTCTCTCTTTACATGATTCAATTTCTGTAACATCATAGAAGGGACAAGTTAATAACAGAATACAAATCACAAATCAACAAATCAAATAAACTGAAATATAAATTTTCATTATAGTATACGATTCTGAAAACTAAATTTTTTATAGTATTACAACAAAATAACATACCAGGAAGTTCAATTGTTTCATGAAAATTCTCAGGAAATGTGAACTCACGTTCATTGTGGTGATCCATCATGTCGACTTTTTCGAATGCGAGATTATAATTATCAGTCGAACAAATTTCATCCTCACTTGACAATGATTCATCATCGACTGATGCAGTTTCCCATTCATTGATGTCGTCGTCTTCATTGATCTCGTCTATATCATCAAACTCGTTGGCAAATGACAAATCCATTAACGGATTCTTATGGACAACTTTGAGTACAACTTAAATTGAATATCCGATTGAGTATGGTTTGTTACTATTGATATTAGAAAATTGGATATTCTTACAATACGATTCCTGATACACACACAATTTCCGCCTGATACACACACGATTGATGATTGACGAATTCATAAATGTTTGTTACAAATAATATTAAACGTACCTTAATTATAGGAGGTTACCTTGAAATATTCATTAAATTTGATTAAACAATCCAAAATTGCCATTATTAATGTAAAATAATATAATATTTTAATTTAATTAATTATATATATTGATTGGTTGAGATTTGTCCTCATGTTCTCACTCTAAAAATAGTTTTTACATGAAATTATATATATATATATATATATATATATATCTGATGTGGTCTCATAAATATCTAACAATTTCCCACTCGACCACAAATATATAAATGCATGTATAACTGTATAAGCATTTTAAAGAATGTTATCATAATATTGGTACCCTTAAACAATCTCATCCACTAATCATAATAGTATTGGATCAAAGTGGTCTTCGTTACTATTTACGTAACTAAACCTATCATTGGTCACATATACATATAACGACATAGATTAAATATGATGTGTGGTGTTAAAATCTAAATAGATTTCCAACGAGTTCCTTTTTAACTTGAAGTAAGATCAAACTTCAAATAAGTGCAACTAATAATGGAGTTAACCGAATTCTTAATTTTGTATAGAAAAACATAATTGTTGTTAAACAACACATAAAGCACCATAAAACTCCCACTAAAACCAAGTATCACACTAATGTGTGTAGTATGCTCATGAAAGACCTAGGGGGGTAATCCCTTTATGAGCGGATCCACTTTTATGGAGTTTGTTCATATGTGATATATATATATATATATATATATATATATATATATATATATTTCCATTTTGCACTATTGTATTAACAGAAACAAACTTGATGTCAATATGTTTTGACTTAATAGAACTTCTGTTGTTGGAATATAACATTGCTAACTTATTATCACAACTTTAGTGGTCTTTCAATACCAATAATGTGTAGCATCGTGACAAATTTTCGCAACCATATTCCATGCTACAAATTATGTTGCCATTATGGAAGAAGTTACCGAAGTCTATTCCATGAAATGGCTTATCATGATAAAATGTAAAAGTATCCCGATATGGATCGGTAACTATTTTGGCATCTAATAAAATCATATTCTTAATAAAAATGATCTCTAAAACATCTGATTTCCTATAATTGAGCATATAGCCTTTTGTTATATATAGATATCTTAAAATCCATTTGGTTACTTTCTTATGATCCAAACTTAGTTTGCATAGATATTTGCCCAAAACCAGAAAGATAAATTTACTCCCACTTAATCTTTGATACACAAAATCATCTACTGTATTTACCTCAAAACCAAAAGAGATAATAAATTGATGAAAAATGTGGTACCACACATAGGATATCCAAAATTGAGGTTGTTGGGTTTGTGTATTCAGAACATTGTCGATCACTGATTCATAATCTGTATACTATCAAAAAACAATAATAGGAATCAAGATTGATTCCTCCTTAAGGACAATGTTGTAACCTTGTTTCTCCCCCAAACTCAACATCCTCAAAGAATGTTGTTCTATCCAAAATGCAAGGTCAATATCCATGCAATTGAGAACTAACATAATGTCCTCATTCCATTACTTAAAGTTAATCTCATTGAGTACATAAGTCATAAATGTGATTAATGTTAGCAAATATAATATCATAATTCAAACATAAGCAAATCTATTTTTATGCTCATTAATCCATAAACCGTAATCAATAAATTCAATTTATGACATCTTTACAAGGTATCGGCACAACATTAATATCAAGTCTTTGGACAGTAATACTAACTTGTAAGAGATAACCTTGTTTTAGAGATAAACATTGACAATAAATCATGTCAATTAACAAGCCCCTCTTTTGGATTGACTTATTAATCACATGGAACCAAAAAATCGCCACATGTTTATCACCACGTATATGTTTATTCGACCAAATATCAATCTACCTCTGGGTCGGCTAATATCCGCATTAATGAACACATAAACTATAAATTTTGATAATAAGAATTGACAATGTATCATGTCAATTAATAAACTCATCTTTGGATTGACTTATTAATGACATGCAACCTAAAATTTGTCACATATTTATCATTAAACATGTGTTTATCCGACCAAATATTAACCTACCTTTGGGTCGATTAATATCTGGCATTAACAAACACATAAACCATAAAATTTAACAATAAGCATTGACAATAAATCATGTCAACTAATAAGCCCTCTTTGGATTGACTTATTAATGACATACAACCTTAAAAAAATTGTCAACGTGTTTAGTATCATATATGTGTTTATCCACCCAAATATCAACCTACCTTTGGGTCGGTTAGTATCCGCAATAATAAACACACAAAAAAAACCATGTAAATTAATTTCTCAAAAGAAATCACTTTGGTGATTTATTGTGTCATTTAATTTACTCTGAAAATAACATGTCATAAATGTAATTTATTAGCAAATAACCTAAAATATTTTGAATGTGTCTATCTTTAGGTTGAACACAGTTCACATAAACCAAATAATATAAAACTTGAAGAATTTACAACCAAATTAATCAAAATAATATATGTTACTTTTGTAACAATATTATATAAATCACAAACCCAAAAAAAACTCAATATCTATAAACCAAATAATTAAACAATAGCAAGGTTGTAAGAATGAAGATTTATTATAGCGAATATATAGCGGAATATACAAAATCTCAAAAGTTTTTCTTATAAACTTGTGTTATATAAACCCAAGAAAAAAAATGTTTCGACGCAACACAATTTCATTAAAAAAAGAATACAAAAGCAATACAACCTTTGTATATATCTACAAAACAATAATGAATTTTTTTTTAATTTTAAATCCATATTGAGCAATAATAGAACTTATTATAAACCTTATAATGAAAACCAAATTTGGTATGACCGTTAAGACGATTTTCTTAATTTATCAATACCATAAAAAAAATATATAATGGTATCAATGAGATGGGATAAGAGGTGGAACTCATGAAGATGCGTGAGAAAAGGCAAATCCATCAAAATAATAATAACATGCAAATAATGAAACTCAAAGAGTGTAATCTTAACATAACGAGGAAAAACAGGTATGTTATTTCATAAACTAAGTTTAGAGATCTTAAACCAATAAAAAAAATTTCTAATAACAGATTCGAGTCGGCTCTGATACCAATTGTTGGTTAGTTTGATAGCCAAAAAAACATAAACGTTGAAGCATAACTTTGGATCTTTAATATCAAATCTGATTAAAAGAAAACTTAAACATTAAAGAACGATTACATACCTAATTTTATTATAATCTTCGGATCTGAAGAATTAGGGTTGGGTTTTCCAGTTGATCTCAAGAGCTCTCTCTAAAATCCTCAGTAAATCCTAAACAAATTTACATGTGTATTTCGTGTGTGTTGATTCGCTCCTCATTACATATATTTATAGATGAATATAAACCCTAATGTGAGAGATGGAAGGGATCTTGAGGATCGTGAGTCAAACCGGGAACTCAGCCCACATGATAAGTAAATATTCTATAAATCGGTCCATTAACAATTTATCTGGATTTAATGATAACATTATAATTATATATATATATATATATATATATATATATATATATATATATATATATGATGTGGTCCCATAAATATCTAACATAAAACCGATATATCTTAACCAATTTTGTTAAAGGAAATCTTAATAAAAGTCATTTACATTTTAAACTCATATTTAGTTTAGTCATAATATATTTTTGTAGCAATTAAGCCAAAGTTGTTAATTTAATCAATTACGACAAATTAGTAGCTTATATGGCATCATACGTGGCAAGACAACATGTACAACCAATTATACGCTTAGGGTTTTCATATATGAAGCGGTATTTAGGGGTGGATTTAAGTGAATAAGATATCAGAAATCTTCACACCCCCAATTAGTTAGCATAGATCGATATCGTCTTCTTCTTCAAACGTTCTCATTACATGTAGGTGTGATTGTGGAGATCTGTGTGGAATGTAGACATCATGGATTTCAAAGAATCTAAGGTCAAAGATTCTTTGGTTTCCCAAATTTCATGGTAAAGATTCTATATTTCTCATTCTTTCATTACAAGCATTTGATTTAGGTTATAAATGTTGCAAATTTTATGTTGTAGTATGAATAAAAGGAGCGCAAGCATTTTTGTTGGATTCCCAGCTTTGAAAAACAAATGGTATAGAGATAAGATGTTCGAATTGGGAGCTTTTGCTAATGTTAGTGTAGTTGTTAATGCCCATGTACCTGTCAATGTGCATGTGGATGCCCCCTAATGCTCATTTATCTATCAATATGCCTGTGAATTCCCCTTAATGGTAATGAAGTTAGATTGCCTATGAATGCCACTACACCTATTAATAAAGTTGGATTGTGGAAGTGGATGAAGTTTTGTTTGGTGTGTGTCATTATTGGGGTGATGTATCTGATAATGTATCTATAGTTTAACATAAGTTGTAGGGTAATATGGTAATTCATCATGTTATCTTTTGGTAAAGTTTTGTGGTGTAATGCAAAAATTTTGGTTAATGAAACGAGTAAATTATTGTGACCGATATGACCATTATGTGTATTCAAAATGCAATATTATCGAATGTGACTAATATAGCCAATATGACCAAAATAACAAATATGGCCTTGTAACTGCAATATGTCATAACCAACCATATTAATGGCATAATCCGATCAATATAACCAAAATGAAAAATATGAACTTAAAATTATAATATGTTAACAAACCATCTTAAGGGCATAATCTGACCAATATAACCAAAATGAAAAATATGACCTTAAAACTACAAACCAACCATCTTAAGGGTATTCACAAAGAGTA